CCGATTCCTAGAGAATATAACCTTCCGCACCACTAGTTTATTGACCCCCATCTGGCTCTGACAACGCTCTAGATCCGGCTCCATACTGGAGCCGGACGGACAACACACCGGACCGTGCACGTGGCCGCGTAGCCTCTGCACTCGGCGCGGAGCGCCCCGAGCAACGCGCTCGCGTTTTGTTCTGCTTCCTTTATAAAAAGGGAGCAGAATGTCCTTGTACGACCCTCTCTTGTACTTAGAATATGGAACAGCTTTTACATATTTTGCATTGCAACTAGAAGCCTTTTCCACCGAGCCCTAACGGCTGTCCGCGAACACATTGTTTACCATGTATAAGTAAAATAACTCCCAAGGCATGTGCAAAAGCCGGCAGGGCCGTTGACAGGTCCCAGGACCTGCCGCACGTGTCAGATACGAGGGTACTCGATGGTACTGTGTAGAAGGTTCTGGAAGATTCTAGGTGGAGCATGAACATGGGCACCCCGGTGCACTGACCACATACTCTGTGTATATCAACAAGAACGATCATTCTCTTCGAAGGACAGAGGACAGGAAAAAAAAAACAAGGCATTTTTCCCATTTCTCATGGATGACTAGAGACAGTGTTTTCTGACAGCACGGGCACGGTCGCCCGTGCACGGACCACGCGCCCTAGATAGCGGATCTCTCGCACCGGCCCATCCGTTTTACCTCTTACGTTTGGCCCCTTGTGCCCGTGCCAGGCCTCTGCCCCTGGCAGAGAGCCTACCAGCCGTGGAAAAAGTTCGTGTTTTATGCATGCAGCGCTTTTTTGCTCTTTTTGTTAGAGATCACGTGGGGCAAAGAGGCAGAGCTGCAGTCAGTACCAGGTTGATATGACTATCTAAAGGTGAAGAGTGCAAAGGAGGGATTGGGTGCGTTGCACCAATTCCCACGTGCAGCGTTTTCTCCAACCGTAGGTCCAGTGCACGGGCCCCTGTCTGAGCGGTCGCCATAGCGGCTCAGCGACGCCCCAGGCGCCACGCCACAACACCTATTAATTTAAAAGCTCATTCGTGTAACGTGCTGTGCACAGGAAGGGGTTCTCGCTGGGAGATCTCAGGGGTTCAGGTCACTCAGCAGTCTAGAGAAAGCGTGCGGGGCAGTGGTGTATTCAGCAGAAGTTGCCTGGCAGCACTGAACAGGAAAAACAAAAACGGTTGCTTCCCCTCCAGACCCCTTGACAGGGAGTCTTGCGGGCCCTAGTTATACATGGTGTCGTGGCGGCCTCCGGCCGTCATGCTAGTCATGGGCTGAGATCCCCAACGTCACTGGGGTGTTACAATTCGCCTAACGATTATAATTCAAAAAGGCTTTGCTCACTGTTATACTGTTCTATATTTCGGTCGGGTAGTCGCTTTTCCAAGTCGTTAATCGAATCACTTTTCTCCTCTTTATGTTGACGAGTTATATTATGAAGACTCTCGCTTATAGTTATATAATATCGTAACAGCTCACTTCGCCCTATCGCTGGAACATCTATGTGGGAACAAATCCCTAGTAACTCAAAAGCTTGAAAAAGTCTCTCTTCTGTTATTACTTTAACTTTTCGATCTCCAGTATCCCGTTTAATTATTTCTGAAATGGGACCTTTAGGACCGGAGTAATCCCAAATTTGGAGTAACACTCCGTCGATATGAGCGGGTTCATTTGCCATGGCGTGATAAAACCAGAAAAAACATTGCTGAAAGCTCAAAGAAATGGAATGGTATTTAATAAGGATGAAAAAGCAACAGCCTGCTTTTGGCCATTTGGTATTAAGTTTAGTTTTAGTGTTTCATGGGTCCGTCCGCTAGTAACAGCCAAAAAGGGTGCCGAAAGAGATTACCACAGCCTTTAAAAACGCCGGCGGCCAAAATCAACGTAAAGCTCCTCGGAGCCTCCACAAGCTTTTGCCTACCCTGGCTCCCTGGCTCCAGTCCCTGCGGCTTGCCATTGAAGGCGTTCAAGACTCAATTCGACAATAGCAACGTGTCACGCCTCGCCTTTCCGTAAGTCAAAGCGTTGGAAAGGCACTTCGTGGTCGCACAGGAACTGGCGTCCAAGGCTAGGAAAACTTTGGTCCGGAAGAATTCACGCTCGAGATCCGGGCTCCATACTGGAGCCGGACGGACGACACACCGGACCGTGCACGTGGCCTCGTGGCTTCCGCACTCGGCGCGGAGCGCCCTAAGCAACGCGCCCGCGTTTTGTTCTGCTTCCTTTATAAAAAGGGAGCAGAGTGTCGTTTTACGACCCTCTCTTGTATTTGGAAAAACAGGACAGCTTCTAGATATTTTGCAATGAACTAGAAGCCTTTCCCACCCGACCTTAAGAGGCTGTCCACGAACAATACTATACCACAGCTGTTTTAGCTACAAAAATAGAGAATCAGCTTATTGGAGAGTGTCTAGAGAATACGAAGCCCACACCAACAAGTAAATAAGTTAAATTCTTCTTTATCCCTTCCGGCTTGTAACGCACAAAATCCACCTTATTAACTACATGTTAAACTCACCGACTAAGCAAGTATATACTATCTATCTGTATAAAGAGTTCATTTCCCGATCTTCAGCTCTCTTTATTTTTTTCATCCACTCCGGGATTGGGGTTACATCTTACGAGCCTCGGATAGACAAATGCCTAACCCGTTAAAGCCCAACACTCTTGTTCGATTATATATAACGGTGCTAATCCTATTCAACTTATGTTGCTTAATATTAAGTCTCGAAATATTATTAAAACAGGAGAACATAACATCAGGTATCGTTACGCTACAAGTAAGTTAATTTCCCAGACTATCATGAATAATAAAAAGCCGCATCTTAACATGTTCCAGTTTAACTTTGTCCGCATTTTAACTCCTGAATCTCCAAGAGGCCTTTTCACTCGTCAGCTTAAAGCTTTTTATAAATTCAATCCAGCTTCGCTACCGCCTACAATTTTAAACCACATGACGAGCATAGTAAATACGGTGCCTAGTCAGCTACCTGACATAAACCACGATATTCCTGATATGATCCAAAACAGTTATTACTTTGTTAAGGATCTTCCAACAAATTCCTCACTCGGCATAGGCCAGTTTTGTATCGGGATTGGAAATGAACAAAGGTGTAATAACTTACCGCTTCAAATTTTAAATTTTATTTCTCCTAGTGTTTTTAGTAAATTAGGAGAAGTTCTGCAAGATATTAAACTTCTGGATAGTTTTATAACTAGCATAACCGCCCCTTACGTAAAGTATACGTTAATTATTGGGGTAGTTTGGATTGTTATTGATGCATTCATGTTTTTGGCATCTATTTTTGAATGGCCTTCGTACATTTACGATTTCGGCAGATCTACTAAAACTTCGAACGCAATTCGAGTTATATTTTCCGCCTTTGGTTGGATTCACGGCACAAATATTACTCGTTTTGGATCTCGTAGTACTTTAGTGATCCGATGCATCGTTCGAGCTGTTACATGTATTCCATTCATCATACCTGTAGGATTCCTAACAATTCTCAAATCCAACATTCAACAGCTTCCGCAATGGATTACCTCACAACCCGGAAACGCATATCAACTTTGTGTTGGATGTTTATGTTGTGCACTTCTCAGCGCATTAATGGGAGCCGGTGTCGAGGCGGTTAGACAAAGAGAGACCCCTCCTATCTCTGCTAAAAAGCCAGGACAATCAGAACCGCTGTTCTGATTGCGATAGGGGTCTCATACACCCAACGCACACGAGAGGCAAGCTGCAAGTGCACGGAGGGCACGCCGCGCCGTAACAGGAGCCGGGATACATTTGCTTAATTAAACGGGAGTTTGTATCTAATAACCTAGCTAATATCTCATTAGTTTTAGCGGTGGTCATGAAGTACGAGTAGTAGTTTACAAAGCCGGGATGAGGAGCATCGACTCGTAGGGAAAGCTAGTTTAAGCAGCTAGGCAATGTAACGCCCCACGGGTCAACACCTCCCAGACGGGAGCTAGGGGGCTGGAAAGCGGTCCAGGAAAGATCAGAAATCCTTCCGGGAAAATGCTGAAAAGCACGTGACTGGCACGTGATTGACAGTACCGTGCGTCATGAACCAGGGGGAAGATAGGCTCACTCCTGTATACTTGCGCGGGTTAAAAGCACCCGCGAAAATCGGCCCTTTGGGGATTTAGCGCGGTCGGGCAATCTGTCGGATTCCGTGCAATCTGTCGGATTTTAGTGACATTTTTACCCATAGAAAATTAGCCGGGAACCTGTGTATTACCGTTTTTCTGCATGACACGCTCAACTGCATGAAGCAGGGGTTGGCTCCCCCGCCGAGCCCCTTACAAATGCAACCTGCCAACGGGTTTATTTTTGCAGATACGTAAAAATGAAGCTATTCAGGCGAGGGAAAGGTCAACGAAGGCGTCTTTTTCGTCTTGATCACGGCGATCAGCCGCTTCTGATGTAGAACTATCGCTTCCCTCTGTATCTGTGCAGTCAGGCGATGATACTTCGTACTCCTTTGGTGAATATTTGCCTGGCAAAGGAACCTCCGGAGGCAGATCTGCACCGTACTTAGGCCCTGTTCGGTGGTAGCGGTTTTCAAGTTTTTTGGCACCCCTACCGGTTTGTGGATATAGAATAAGCTCGTGGGGCCTCGCCCGGGGTAGCCCTGTGGCAGATCATGTAGATTTGGCCCTGTTTAGGCCTATTTTTTCATCGTTTCACACTCAGAAGCTCGGTGCAACGTCTGGTCATAAAATGCAGCGAGCACAGGCGATCAAAATAGAAGCTATTCCCAAAAAAAATAACCTCCGTAGTAAAGAGTAAAAACAAGCCACGATAGCCTCACGTTGTAGTGGATCCAGAAGGCGCCTAGGGACGAGGCTAGGCTGAATCGAGAGCTCAGAAGCCAGAGATTACGGCAGTATATAAGGGGAGGTAATTGGCCCTCTGGTTGGGAGCAGATCAAGCACCAATCCAAGTTATATTTACCACCTACTACCAACTCTACGACCTCCCTTTCTGATATATCATGCCTTCCTACCGATCCTCCCTCCGCCTTCAGCAACGGTACCGGCAAAGCCAGAATCGGGCCCAATCTGAGCCTCCTTCGGATCCCCCGGCCCTTGATCTGGAGGCCGAGGATCTGGCCGAGGGGTTGCCGGCCACCCAGGCCACCGTCATCACCCTCGGTACCTCTATCCGGGCCTCCAGCAGCCCCGGCATCGACAGCAACAACGACTTTGTTGATCACTTCCAGTCGCCGGCCTCTTCCCCTAGGGACTCCCCGGCGCCTACCGACGGCTTTTCTGACTTGCCGGACTCCCAGCAGAGCCAGGAAACGTCAGAGGTCCCTTCCCAGGCCTCCCAGGAAGGCGGGAAGCGGAACGATTGGTTTGTTGATCAGCTCCTGGCCTTCCTCGAGAGCCTGGCGGAGTCCAGCCGCCTAGGGAAGATGAATCCGACGATCGCCTCCTGGCTCTCCAAGTGCCTCAAAGTCGCGGCGGCAGACCTATCGGCTCGTTGGCCCTCTATCCGGTGGTCTAATAGGGTCAAAAACAAGTACAACGGCCTCAAAAGCCAGTACCGGGACTGGGTTAACTTTGGGAATAGGTCCGGAGTTTCCCTGGATCCGGTGACGGGCTTATACGTCGCCAGCGACCACGCCTGGGAGGCTTTTTTTGCCGTGCGGCCCAACGCTCGTTGGATGCAGAAAAAGCCTCTTTTCCGGCCGGATCTGCAGGAGGCCGTCTTTGCAGGCCGTTGGGCAACCGGGCAACAGATCGCTACGGCCGCCCAACGCCTGGCAGAGGAAAGCGACGAGGAGGCCGAGGAACATCGGCCGGCCAAGAGACGACGCGGGGGACGGGAGTCTGGCGGATCCAGCCGCCTCACGTTAGCGGAGGCCCAGATGCACGTCGGTGATCGCCTCCTTGAGGCGGCACAGACGCTTGCCAGGGCCGGATCAGGGCCTGATTGGGGCTCTACCCCTTCCAGCAGAGGGTCCTCCCGGGCCTTCAGCCCGGCCCCGGCCTTCGGCTCGCCCTCTAGGTATTACCTACGGGAGGAGAACTGGTGGCTCGCTACCAAAAGCCTGCAACAGGGCTACTTGAACGTAGATAACGATACAAAGCAGCAGTTGATCCGGCTGTTCAGGACCGAGGCATGGGTGGCCAAGTGGTGGCTCGTTTAGCCGTAGGACCAGGAGATTATAGTCGACAGGGTGAAAAACGGCCAGCTAGGCGCGATCTAGTGAAAAAGGCGGTTCGAATCAGGTTATTCTCGTACGTAGAGGTCGTCATCTGCAGGAGATATGAACGCGCGTTGTTAGCGTTGTTGTGCGGGAGGCATGGAAAGGCATGGAGGGAGGGAAGGGACCAAAGGAAAGTCGGCATGGGGTTACCATTGGGCAGGTTCCCAACCAACAGATCGCTCGCTTGTAAATAGATGAAAACAACGTCAACCGGGCCGCGGGTTACGGCATTTAACTGCCCTAGAATAGGCGAGAAAAATGCACCAAGTCCCGCCTCGAACAAACGCCAGATGCATCAGAGGGAGTTGACGGAGGTTGGCCCGGTCAAGCTGAACAAGTGCGGCCTCGATGCGGAATCCTCATTTACGATCCCCACCTGGATCCAGATGAAATTTCGGCTAACGTATTGCCACCGCTTTTATTGCCTAATTAGGAAAAGCAAAGGTATATCCGAAACAGGGGCCTGGTTTAAACGCCGGCCCTCCTCTTGTTTTTTGTTTGTTCTTTTCGAAAAAAGCAGCATTCGATTCGTTTCGACGAAGGAATTCGAATGGTGGTAACAGCGTGCTGAACGGATCATTCTTTGCTATCCAACTTTTGTTTATTTTATCACAGCTTTTGTAGGATATCACAAAAGCGCCACATTGGGAATAGCTTCACGCCTTTTCTAGCCCATTTGGTTTTATCTAATGTTTTATTTAATTCAATGCTCCTACCAACAAGCCGCAAATTCCTTTCGATTCCTTTCGTCGAAGCGGTTACAACGCATATTCTCCCGTATTCTCCCGAGCCCGATAAACCTGATAGTCCTCCCACAACTTCCTCGCTATCAATGATCTATATCGGATCCAAGACGCTTGCGTTGTGCCGATCTGCCGTGCCCTCGCCACTCCCTCCCTCAAAACCCGGGCCCTTTCAAATGCATTTTCTCCGGCATCTTTAGGTTGTTTGGGATGGGAATTAGATGCCGGAGATGCCCTGGATTCATGCTCCCAGATGAAGTTTTGTAGGCCCGTAACCGCCAACACGATACTGACTTGTGTGCGGATGGAGTATCCCGAACCCGAACCCCTCACTATCTTCCACCGGCTTTTGAGCTCACCGAAGGATCGCTCAACCCGCACCCGTATCTTTGCATGATGCAGGTTAAAAAGCTCCTCCGGCGTTTCCGGCCTTGCAAGTCCCTGTTCCTGTAAGTGGTATCTCGTTGCACTATAGGGAGTTATTACTCCCTGCCCTAGCCCAAAGCCAGCATCTCCGAGGTAATAGTGGCCCTCTGGGACCCTAAACCCGCGTGCGAGGGCCTCCCTAAACGCCTGGGAGTCGTGAACTGACCCCTCTATACCTGCAGTTACAGAAACGAACCGCCCGCGGTGATCGACGGCCGCCATGACGTTTTGTGCAGTAAGGCCTTTCCGACTCCTCCATGCGACTCCCTCCTCCGCGGCAACTTTGACGTTGATCAAGGTCCCGTCGACGGCTCCCAAGCACCCTGCAAAGGCCTCCCGGACCTCTTGCCGCCGGCAGTCGGGCCAGGCGACGTCAGAGACGTCTGGCAACGTCACAAAAGCAACGTGAAGGCGGATCAGGGCCCGGAGGACTTGGTGAAAGTGACGGCAGATCGTATCTGTACTCCGGCCAAAGAGGTGGGCGGCGGCCCTGGTGGTAGCATCCTGCCCACAGATATATAGGAACTCGGCCACCTACTCTTCGCTAGAGACGTTCCTCGAGCCAGCGAGCCTCGTGTGCGTGTTCAGCCAGTCGCAGAGAGCCAGAAAAGTACTTTGGTTAACCCTGAAAAGCTCCCGGAAGGCGTCGGTGGCGGCCGGCCTTTGCCAGTATCGGAGGAAGTTATCACCGGCAAAGATCGCTGTATGCACGGTTCGTAGGCCTCCGTTGCCTCTGAAAGGGCCGGCCACGCTGCCGGCGGCAACAACGTGCAAAAATAGGAGGAAAATCTGCCTGACCTGGCGTTGGTATAAAGCCCGGGAGGCGGCAACAGAAGTAGGCATTGGATAGAGCCGAAAAAAACGAGCTTAACGATACATTTGGTGGATAGAACGGACGTGAATTGCAGTCAGAATCAGCGAGTTGTTTACCCCTACCGGCTTGGCTTGATGCGGATCTCGTTTACTTTATATCCGGCGGCCGGCCTCGAGCCGGATCAAGGGTCACACGTGGGTTACAAGGCTGACATCTGCGGGCCTCGTTGGCCTGGTCAAAATGGTACTTCTGGCGGGTCTACAGCTAAATTTATCGATGTTTTTGCAGGGATCTGGGATCCCCTGCCCAAATCTACCAACCGGTTTCCCAGCGGTTTGTGACGTTTGTATGGGATAAACTGGAAACCGATGCTACCACCGAACAGGGCCTTATTCTTCCAGTAGGCTCGCACAACTTTCCGGACCGTACCCTCGTCTCGTTGGGTAAGCCTCCAAGGCGTGTAGGGAGAGAGTTCCTCGGCCGGCTGCCAATCTGGAGGAAGGAATACGTCCTCCTCTGCCCTGCCAGATTGTAGGCGTGCAAAAATCAAGGCCTCCTCCTGCAGGGCATGGAACCGATCGTCGCGCTCTCGGCGTTGTTGCCAGTACTTGCTGAGAAGCGTGGCCTCGTTCTTTAGGGCAGTCTCTTGGGGAACGACGAGATCCGTAATCTCTTTACGCTTTGCCCTTTGCAATCGCATACGCGCCCGCAATTGCCTAAGGCGGTCGGTTTCCTGCCGCTTGTATTCTCTCAACCAAAGCCTAAGTATCTTCAACTCCGACTTAAGGTCTTTCCCGCGCAGGCGCCGGCGTTCCCTCCGTTTTAAAGCGAGGCGGTTGTTCTCGTTATCGATCGCCCGGAGACGCGCGTCGCCGACGGAGATAGGCCCGACCCTCGTGATCAAGCGGTTCAACGCGGCTCGTTGTTTTCGCTCGACTTCAGCTTTCTCGCGCCGACGGAGCTCCTCGATCGCCCTCGCGCCAGCGAGAATCGCGGCATGGGAAGCCTTCTTCATCTCCGCAAAGACGTGGAGTATCGTCGGCGAAACCGGCCTGTTCGACCGGGCGGAAGCAAGCAGGCGTTCTTCAAGCCAGTCCTCGTAGGGAATAATCTCCGCTAGATCCAGCGAAGGAGTCTTGGCCTCCTTCCAGTTGAAGGCGAACAGGTCCGGCGAGGGCGTCCTCAGAGTATCGTCGTCGTCAAAAAGAGAGGCGCGGAATTGACCTCGGCGCTGGATCCGGCGGATCTGATCGGTCGCATTAGGTATAAGTCAGAGACCCCTGTTCCGCACCACCCCTGTTCTGCACCACTCAATTTTAGGCGCACGCACATGATAACACCACCTTTCGACGCCAAAATTACAGCATTTTCAGCCCACAACGATGCAGTCCTGTACCTCCCCCTCATCAGATTCTTCTGCTGATTCTGATGATATACTTTCAACCTCCTCAAGCCCCTCCCTTTGTCTATAAATCTG